ATTTTTAAAAGAAGACAGTATTCATGTATGTATTTTGCATAATGATTATATCAATTTTAAGGGTTTTATGTCATGTTATTAAAATCGGTTAAACACTCAAAAAAAGAAAATTCCAATCAAGTGCCAGGCATGGTGGAGCACGCCTTTGATCCCAGCACTGGGGAGGCAGATCTCTGTGAGCTCAACACCAGCCTGATCTATATAGTGAGTTCCAGGCCAGCTGGGGTTACAGGGAGACCCTGTATCAAAAAGGCCAAAAAAAAAAAAAAAAAAAAACTTCATCAATACTGGGAGGTCATTAGTTGGCAGATTCTTCTCTGGTATCTCAGAACCAAAAATCTTACCTATATAAGGTGCTATGATGGGTCCTGTGCAGGCAGCAGGGGGCGGAGAAGTACAATGTTCAGTCTATGCCCATTCGAAAGGATGATGAAGTTCAGGTTCTATGAGGGCACTACAAAGGTCAGCAGATCGGCAAAGTGGTCCAGGTTTACAGGAAGAAATATGTCATCTACACTGAGCGGGTACAGTGGGAAAATGGCACAACTGTCCATGTGGGCATCTACCCCAGCCACATGGTTATCACCAGGCTAAAGCTGGACATAGACCGCAAAAAGATCCTGGAACAGAAAGCCAAATCTCACCAAGTAGGAAAGAAAAAGGCAAATACAAGGACAAAACCATTGAGATGGTGCAGGAGTAGTCTTACATACGGCTGTCATTAAAAACTGCCTAAATGATAGCCAGGCATGGTGTCACATGCCTTTATTCCCAGCACTCAGAAGGCAGAGGCAGGTAGATCTCTGAGTTCAACGTCAGCCAGGTCTACATAATGAGTTCCAGGCCAGCTGAGGCTACAGGGAGACCCTGTCTCAACCCACCCACCCCCAAAAAAAAAACCTGTCTAAATGATAAAAAAAAAAAAAGAAAAAAAAATTCCAACCATGGGGCTGGAAGGATGGCTCAGTGGTTAAGAGCACTGGCTGCTCATGCAGAGGACCTAGGTTTGACTCCCAGTATCCACATGGTAGTTAACAACTATCTGGTCACTCCAGTTCCAGGGGATCCAAGGCCCTCTTCTGGCCTCCATGAACATTACACACACTGGTGTACTTATATACATGTAATTCTAACATTCATATATATACATACATATATTCCAATCATCAGGCTAAAACTTTTGTCCTGTTTTCTTGGGTGCCAGGAATTAAACTCAGAGCCATGTGCATGCTAGGTAAGGACTCTACCACTGAGTTACATTCCCAGCTGAGTATAAAGTTTTTAAAAGGAAATAAATTCACAGCAAATTTAGAATGTGACAACCTGAAAACACATTCTGAATATGGAACGTTAAAACCCAAGCCAGAATTGCTCTGTAATTTGAAAAATGGGAGAAGTGTCAGAAAAGGATAAGCAGCCCCTCATAGGCATGAGCTTATGCAGGGGTCGCCCAGTGGTTGGCCCACCGCTGTGACTCACCACCTGGTTTTCCATGCGGGTAAAGATGACGTTCAGCATCTGGGTGAGTGTGGCCTTGGCAGTGGTTTGGTTGATGAGGTTTTTGCTGGCCAGATAGATATTGTAACATGTCCTCACTGTCTGCAGGATAGTGCCCTCATGAATTTCAATGTGTGGGGAAGTCACGGCAGTCAGAAGAGCCTGAAACACAGAGCAGAAATTGTCACTTTCCTGAATGCCCACACCTCTCTTCTGGTCAAATTTTGCTGGAGGACTTGAGTTTTTTTCTGCCTTATGCTTATTTGAGATCAAGAGTCACTAGTAGTCCCAGCTGGCCTGGAACTCACTACACACAGGCTGGCCTCAAACTTTCAGCAATCCTCCTGCCTCTGTCCCACAAGTGCTGAGATAACAAGTATGTGCCACCTTATCCAGCCTTTTTTTCCTAAATTCTCAGATGGCCCTGAAAACTCAACTGAATGATCAGTACCAGGAGCCAACTGCTTATTGATCTGAGTTTTTAAAAAGCAATTGCTAACTAACTCCCTAAAATTCTGATTATTTGAATTAAGCTGTGTTGAAATAAGTGTGCTATTGGCTCATTTTTAAAAAGGGGGAGGGAAATGGTGCAGCTGTTAAGATTCAGGCTCACAACCAAAAAAATCAAAATAAACACACACACGAAAAATCTCAAAATTGTGAATACTAATGTTGATTGAAAAACTAAAGTGAAAATTACAGACACTTTCCTCAGGAGGAAAAACATTCCCATTGGATTTCACCCATATGAATCATAAAATATATGTGTATTGATGGGTTTCCGTTCCCTGGTGGGTTCAAAAGCTTTAAGAAAGGGGTGGCTGGTATGCAGCCATGAATCACAGAGCTAAATACTCAGGACCTAGGGTGTGGAGGCCTAGCAACATCCATCCTGCCATTCTCCAACAAGCTGGTGGTATCAGCCCATGCCAAGCCCTTACTGGCAGCAGACATGAAATAGGGAATCAGACTTGAGAGGACAAGAGGACAGGGCAAGTGCAGGTGCTAATAGTTCTGACACAGACCTGCAGAGAAATGTCTACTTGGAACCCAGATTTCCTGGGGACACATCAGAGAATTTCAAGCCAGTTTAATTTATAAGCAATTTACAGTGTTGTCAGCAGAATTATTTACTCAGAAATACATCTGGTTCTACTCTTCTCATTCCATGCTAATAAACTGTAACACTTAACCTAAGCTCTAGGTGATACTCAAGTTCTGCTCCAGCTCAGTACCTGGAGACAACTAACCCAAATTAGAAGCCCACACTTCCGGAGGACTAGTTTTCTCATTCCAAACTCAAACCAGGCAAACAGAAATACCTTAATTATCTGTAACTGAACCCCTTCATCCGTCTGAGGGCCCTGAAAACAACTGCAAATGGTTTCAACAATCCTGTCGATCAGTCGCTTCCCAGGGGCTCCGCTGTCAGGGGCGTTGCCTGTGATGTGCCCATATGCAATGAGTTTCTAAACACAGAAAGAGCAAAGGTTATATTTCTGCCTGCCCCGAATAGCAATACACAGGAAGCAAGGAAGGCCTTGAACTTCTGGTTCCTGTGGAGTCAAACAAGCACAGCTGTTCTGAGTGCAACCTTTCTTTAGTCTCCAGGCAGCAAAAATTCCCAGTGATGGTGTGGCCATGCCAACAGCAGGCACCAAACATAACCTAGCACACAATCATTAAAAACAAACAAAAAAAGAGGGACTAAAAGCTGTATTAATAAAAGTCAGAAAGCAGATTCGTGAACACCCAGTGCTCCAGAGATAAGGCAGCAGATGGAATAAGGGCGTGAGAAAAATGGTCTAGTTCGATTGTGGTGATCACACAACTGCCAACAAACTAAAGACCATTGGTTTGCGTGTTTTAAGTGCATGAACTGTACCTATGCTAACTATATCCCAAGAGAGCTGTTAAAATACTACACATGCTTTTTCCTTATGTATTGAGATAGCCAAGAAAGGAATGGCTGCAAGTGTCGCTTCAGGGAAGGGGAGCTAAGTAGCCAGAGGCAGAGATGAGACTAACACAAGCACAGTGGTCTTTTCATTTCCTCTGGAATGTTGGATCATGTCACATTATTATCTATTTACAAAGCAAAGTAAGGGGTTAGGGAGACAGCTCAGTAGTTGAGAATGTACACTGTTCTTGCAGAGGATCTGGGTTCTGTTCCTAGCATCCATGTCAGGTGCTGTAACTTAAAACTCCAGCTCCAGAGGATCCATTGTCCTCTTCTGGCCTCCAAGGGCTCCTGTACATGCACATATGCTTGCACACACAAACACAAACACATAAAATAAATAAAAATCTGTAAAAAAAAAAAAATTTAAAGTAAAAATCCAGGTATGGTGGCACATGCCTTTAATCTCAGCATTTGGGAGGCAGGGGCAGGCAGATCTCTGTAAGTTCAAGGCCAGCCTGGTCTACACAGTGAGTTTCAGGCCAGCTGAGGCCGCAGGGAGACTGTCTCAAAAAGTCGAAAAAAAAAAAAATTGCAGGTTCCTGGACCTCAACCCAGACCTAATGAACCAGAAATTATGGCTAGTGCTCAGGGATCAGTGTCATTCTCTCAAATGCCCAGGTTAATCTAAAGGTCAGCCAGATGACACAAGACTTCTGAGGTACTCTCTGCTTCCAATGAGTGGTAAAGACTTTAAAGTGCTGCTCTGTTCTTTACCTATTTGAATCCTGGCTGGTCACATTCTTGCCTCAGCTTGCACAGGCAGACCTGCTCTCCTAAGACTGTCAAAAGAGTACCACCACTGTGCTGGGAAGATGGCCACCCTGCAGAGGCATGTCTCCATGATTAGCTAAAGAGCACTGCCATTCAATAAGCAGAAAAGATTAAGATGGTGGCTGACAGCAGAAACACAACACACAATAGAATGAAAGAAAGAACAGGTTGCCTGCCCCATCTGTGCTGTTCAAGCCCAACTCTGGGACCCACAGTGAAGGGTAAGCCCAGAGCTGCTCACCTCTCACCCCTAACTGCTGCTGGATAGTCCTGAGAGGGTGGGAAAGGTTGCAGGTAGACCAGCTCTGAGTTCTGACAGTGAATCTTGTCCCTCCTAACACCAAGACAGAAGTCTGTCATGAGCACTGTGAATAAGTCAGATGATATATAACTCCTGAAATATGAAAGTTGAAAAGGAGGTGCTCAGGGACCAGGCTGCAGCCTAGTGGTAGTATGTGTAGTAGCCTCAAGGCCCTGAGTTCTATCCCAGAACAAAATAAAAGAAAATTAGCTGTGGTTACACATACCAGTAATCCCAGTATGTGAGAAGCTGAGGCAGATGGAGTGTGAGTTTGAGGCCAGACTGGGCTCAAACTTACTTCAACACTCCTGCCTCAGCCTCCAAAGTGCTGAGATTAAAAGCATGAGCCTTTACACTGGCAATAAGAATCCTGAAAAAGAAGAAAAGAAAAATAGCTTCCTTACAACTCAGCACTGATGCTGAAAACAAAGATGGAGACAGATTTTGAAATACATATATTTTTTATTTATTATCTTTATGTGTATGAGTGTACTGCCTGTATGTAAGTGCACTTGTGTTATGCAATGTCTGTGGAGGTCAGAAGGGGGTGTTGGATACCCCTGGAACTGGAGTTAGGGACAGTTGTTAGCCTCCATGTGGGTTCTGGGGGAGGTACCAAAGCCAACCAGGACCTGTTGGGCCCTGTGCAATTTGAAGATACCCCATCCCTCCATCTCCTCCTGCTTCCCTCTCCCCCATGGCAAAGGAAAGGGAGGTCACTGAACCCTGGGTTACTACTGCATGTGTGTCAGGGACTTATGTGGGTTTGGCTGGCTCTGGCTTGGAGGAGAGGACAGGAAAATAGAAAGCACTACAGTAGACCCTCACTGGTCCTGCTGTACACAAGAACCTGGGAAAAGCACAAAGCAAGCTGGAAAAATGTCTACACAGGGGAACAATTTTCAGAAAAAGGAAAAATGAAAGAGAAGAAAGAATATTATATATCTAAGTAGGTAACTGGTTTTAGGGCTGATCACTCAGGGGACTTCGGCCTTTTCTAGAGTTCCAAAGATTTTTTTTTTAAATATTTTATTATTTTTATTTTTATGTGTATGCATGTATTGCCTGCATGTATGTAGGTGCACCTGTGTAGTGCAATGCCTGCAGAGGTCAGAAGACGGCGTCAGATCCCCTGTAACTGGAGTTACGAACAGTTATTAGCCACCATGTGGGTGCTGGGATTCAGGTCTTCTGCAAGAGCAGCCAGTGTTCTTAACCACTGAGCCATCTCTCCATCCCTTAAAGGTTTTTTTGATGAAGAAAAAAGTCTCAATCTATATAATTACAAAATCATTTTTAAATATGCATTTAAAAATTCAGTTTCCAGAAATATGAGCTAAAAGATGCTAGATTACACCTGTAATCCCAGTACTTGAGAAGCTAAGGCAGGAAGACCATGTGTTCCAGGTCAGCCTGGACTACATACAGCCCCTGTATCAAAATCAGAAACAAAAGTTGCCAGGCATGGTGGCCCACACCTTTAGTCCCAGCATTTGGGAGGCAGAGGCAGAGGCAGGTGGACGTCTGTGAGTTCCAGGACAGCTGGGGCTATAGGGAGACCCTGTCTCAAAAAGGCGAAAAAAAAAAAAGAGAGAAAAAAAGAATTTTCAGACAATTATTTATGTATATATGTAAAGATTAAATGTAAAAATTAATTAAACATATTAAAGAATACAT